TCCGGTACCAGGAACCGAACTCACGACCTTGCACTTGCCAGGCAGGCGCTTTTGCCGCTGAGCTAAATCCCCAGCCCCCTATTTCCCCTTTATATTAAGGAAATGTTTAAGACACAATGACCATAGAGTGACTTGTGTAGTCACATATCATTTTAAGTAATATACCCACTCGAGGGCTTTGATGTTTGTTTCTTTTAAAGAGAAAGTTGGAACCTTTGATTAGGCCTAGGATATTGTAAAATGGTGAAAACTAAAATGGAGAAAATTAAATACAAGGTAAACTATAGCTTCAACTGAAAAAATATGTAAAGTGTATCATTTATTCAGAAGCTTGTTAAGGTGATCATTTTATTAACAAAGTAAATGGCAAACACAGTTTTGAAAATTTATCTGATTAAGAAAATTTCTCTTTACAATTTCTCATATATTTATAGTAAGAAATTTTAGGCTAGAGCTGGGCATGGTGGCACACATTTGTAATCCTAGCACTCAAAAGACTGAGGCAGGAGGATCGCCATGAGTTTGAGACCAGCCGGGCCTACATAGTGAGTTCAAGACCAGCCTAAACTACACAGCAGGATCCTGTCTCAAAAGAAGTATTTTTGAAAAACAAAAAAATAAATTTTAGGCTCTATCAACCTTCCAGTTACTTTGGAAGATACACTTATGACTACCGCTTAATTTCACTAGCAGAGCACAATGGGAATACTGTGATCTTGTAGCACACAACTCCTGGTGCCAAAGTGATTTCTAGACCTGTGTATCACACAGTAGTTGAGTAGTGTCATAGGCATAAAGTTTTATTAGTTTAATAAACAGAAACAATAAAGTTTTGAATATTGTTCGAAAAAATTATTTCTAGTTTTCATCTAAGTATCTGTATAACCTGTATAATAAGAAGATAATGCCTCTGCCTTGTTGCACATACCTCATTACCTGAATTGATCATATATTTGCTTGCTTACTCTAGAAAGATTAAAAGACTTCTTTTAAAGGATTTGGAAATTAAAATGATGTCCATTTTATTTACTATATAGTGAACATTTCTAAAAATAACTATTTAGCAAGCTTTACCACAAAATATGCGCCTAGTTTCTCTGCACAAATCAAACAATTAAATTACTGGTGGCATAATTGAAGGTTTTATGTGAAGGGATATGGTATCATCAAAGAATGTGACATATTCACTTAGTCTGAATTGATACAGTTTGATAAGCATATGGGGGACACCAGATATGTGAGACTGAAATCTGTGTAATAGATTATTTTGTCAGTTTAATTTGATTATGGAAAATTCCACAAAGTTCAAAAAAGGCTAATTAATCTGCATATACAAATCATCTAGTATTGGTAGTAATCATGTCATAACCAGTCCTGCTTTGTCTATATACCACTCCTTTCCCCACCTTCTGTATTATTTTAAAGAAAGCCCCAGGCATTGTATTATTTGCAAATATTTTCTACTAATCACTAAATGATAAAAATCATAAACATGGTACAGTGATCTGATCTTCAAATTAAGAATCATTCCATAATATAAAAACATCAAATATTCACTGTGGAAATTTCAGGCTGACTTTTTAATCTCATGTTTTATTTATTTTTTTAGTATATGTTTGCGGTACATACCATTTATATTCCTTGAGTAAAGTTACTACATGTACATAATACACCTTAATTTATTTTTCATCCTCTTCGTCTCCCTTCCAAACCCCTCCCTCCATCTCTTGATTCCTTTCCCATTTGAGGAAGATTTATCTCCCTACTTCCTACTGTGTATCTTTTATTTTGCTCTTTATTTATAGTTTGGGTTTCTCATATAAAAGAAACCATGCGATTTTTAAACCTGAGTGTCTGATTTATTTCAATTAACATTATGTTCTCATGGTGCATCCATTTTCCTACAATACAATTTGCATCCATTTTCTTAGACTCAATTTTATCCTTATTTTTGGCAGAGTAGTACTCCATTATATGTAAAATACCACATCGCCTCCATCTATTCATCTGTGGACAGACATGTAGGCTGCTTTCAAGGTTTAGCAATTATCAGTTATGCTGCTATATCCATGAGTATGCGTGTGTCACTGTACGAAGCTGCAAAATTAATGCTTAGGAGTCCTGTAAAGTCTTTTCTCAATTTTCCCCAATGATGATATCTTATATATCTCTAGGAAAGTATCAAAACAAGGAATTTGACTTTGATAAAATATTGTTAACTAGAGACTTTACTCCATGTTCAATATTTTTACACTTGTGTATTTCCGTGTGCTTCTAAGCAGTTTAGACCCATGTATAAGATGAATGTAACTAAAACTACAACCAAGATACAGAACGTTTCCATCAAGGCAGAATTACCTTACGCTTACTGTTCTTTGTAGGCATGCCTCGCACTGTAATCCCTGCCCTACTTGTGACAAACACTCATCTTTTCTCCATCTTTTTGTCATTATCTGATTTATAGAATATTGTATAAATTGAATCACACACGGTGTACCTTTTGAAACTAACTTTTTATTCTAAGTATCACACCCTTGAGATTCATAAGATCTACTGCATACATGAAACAAAATGACCAGAAAATCATGGCTGAAATGATCTATTTCACTTCAAATCCCAGTTCTTAATGGCCACATCATACTGCTTCCCATAATATATTGGAAGAGAATTTTTTAAATTGAAGTATTATCTAAGTGAAAATTATGGTTTACATCATATTTGTTCATTTTCTAGAAAAGTATTAAGTGAATGTTGGCAACATATGATCTTCATTGTGCTTTATTTGGAAAAAAAAAGCAATTTGTAAGAACAATTTAATTAAATATTAGCTCAGACAAGTCACAGCCATCGTGTTAGCAAGCTTCATCATTTTCCATTCAATTACATCACATTACAGCGATTAAAAACTCTTTCCCAATTAGTAAAGAAGGCAAATAGCACTAGCTTTGAGTGACTAAAATTAAAGTGTTCAGATTGTTGTATAAAAGTAGTGCTACTCAAAGATAGTTCCACAGTGAAAGCAATAACTATTAGTTTGTAAAAATGTGAGAACTATCAGAATTATCCAAGATGAAGCCTGTGATGTTTTATCTTTATAGTTATACAACATTATTACTATATACTTATGTATAGTAATACATAATTTACACTACATTTATATTTAAATGCCCTTTGTACAACTAGAATCGTAAACAGACAGATGATATGTGTATATATACATTGCATCTAAAGGAACCTATTATTAGAATGAAACAATGGGACATTATATTGCAAATATATATCTTGGTTTGTATTTCCTTACAAACATCCTCAGATAAGAATTCAAATCCAAGTAGCATATTTGTTACATGATTTCAAGAAATAGAGGTAAGGAGGCCAGGATACAAGACACATAAGGAAAGCAAATCAATAAAGGGTGCTTCATCAAGGCAGTTGCCACGGTGATTAACTGCAAATTAATTCCTTGGGAGAAATCTGGGAGATAGTGTAGAATGCATGCCTCAGAAATTTCACACCGAGGGGATCAGGAAGTTGTGGTTTTTCTACACCACTTGACATGATTGCAATCCCTGACTGAGGAACAGTCCCAGAGACTATTAATACTCTTATCAGAGTAGCCCTGTAGAGTTTCTGAAAAATCCTGAGTCAAAGAGGTGCAGGTATTGCAATTGAAAGTTGGATCAGGGCACTGAAGTGGAAATCCCTGAGGTGGGTGGCCACAAACCACATCCGCTAAATGATAATTATCAGTTATTTCTATTAATAGAAATATGTCCTTAGTAACATAGCTTTGGTCATTCATTTCATGAGTGTCCTGCTCTTTAGCTGATCTCTTTTCAGAACACAGAGACACTGCTGTACTTAAATATGGGAATCTCTCCTGTTAAAAAAAAATTTCAATTTTTTAAATAAAATAGTTAAGGAACATAGTGATCAAGTTGTCATTCTTTTGTAAAAACCAACATTGATTCTATGATGTATTTAGTGCTAAGGGGGTACTATTTATTTTTGTATTATTTGACTATGGCTTTTTATTTGTATTTTCAAAGGGAGATTGGGTGTGGAAGAAAAAGAACTATCTTTATCTTTTAGAAAATACAAATGAGTAGTTGTTTGTAATATTCACTATAGGATTGAAGAAATTTAACCTTAGATAAAAATTTTAATGTTTACTATTTATTTTTTAAAATAACTTTATCAGTAAAATAGCACTTTGGAAAAAGAGCATTTCTTGACTAATCTTAACTAATGCTGCTGCTGAATGCCACCCAACAGAATGGCAGGCTTAGAATATGAAACATTAAGTCATTAACCTTTTTCACTGTATCTGGTACTGTGGGACTTCTGGCTATTCCCCAAAGTCAAAACAGCAATGAAAGATAAATGTTTGGAATTGATTCAGGACATGAAATTGATTCAGGACATGTATATACACTAATCTGCGTTCATATACATGCATGTGCACTTGGCATCACCTAGCCGTAAAATTAGAATCGTAATCGGAATACATGAAACATAATTGGGACTTTAAAAATTATATCTTTTTAGGTAGTCACCCTCAAAGGTCTTTGAGAGAAGTGTCACGTGAAGATACAAGTCCCTTTGTGTACCCACTAGGTGCTGGGTGTAGGTGCAGATTCTTTCATGTAGCTTACTCATATGAACGCACCAAGTGCCAGGCACCAGTACAGGCCCCTTCACGTAGTCCACGTGATGGTAACAAGTGCCGGGAATGGTGCAAGGCTCTTCATTTCTTTCGCTCATCTGCACCCAAGAAGGTGGCCACTTGGACTGGAAAAAAATTCACAATGGCATATGCAAACTGTTTTTCACATAGAAAATTGGTATATGAAGTAAAATCTTATTTAATTAAGTTGTATTATGTTTTCTGGTTTGGGCCACTTTTGAATTCTTGGCCCTGAATACAAAATTACTTCACATAATTGGAAAAAAGAGCGAGTATGATTAAAATAAGGCCATGCCTGACGTATGAGAAATTGCTGACTTAGTATCCATTGATAGATATTACATTACACACATTGAGCCTGGTGTATTGCAGTATGCACTTGGCCTAGGACCTGCCCGGAATAGTTTGCTGAGCATATGTGGTGTCACAAAAAGCAGAGCAAATGTGTACATCTTTTAAAAAGTATTGCAGTAGAAAACACATTGTCATCAGTCTCCTTCAAAATAGTTTCCCCCTTGCTTAAACACGTTTATCCCATTGTTCTTGTCACTTTCTCAAGTAGTTCTGAAAATTTGCTTTTGTCTTTAGTTGCACTATTATGGCTGCTTTCATGTCCTGAATCAATTCCAAACATTTATCTTTCATTGCTGTTTTGACTTTGTGGAATAGTCAGAAGTCCCACAGTAGTAGATACAGTGAATAAGGTCAAGGACTTAATGTCTCATATTCTAAGCCTGCCGTTCTGTTGGATGGTGTTCGGCAGTAGCATTAGTTTTGGTCACACCTGGTAAAAGTCACACTTATGGAAGAGGACTTCCAGAACTGCTCTAGGAAGTGGGAAGAATGACAAGTGTGCTTGAGGCAAAGGGAGTATTCTGAGAGGGATTAGTGGCAATGTCTCTTGTACTGTAATAATTTTTTAAATTTAAACATTCATCATATATTTTGATCACGCTTTGTACCTGGTACAATTCTTAGTGTGAAAAGCAAGCCTACATAAAAGCAGGTGGCTTTAGGAGATTCTGTAGAAGCAATAGGACTTAACATAAGTATATTACTGTATGAACATAAAAGAGTACAGTTTCAATTGAATATGGCTTGGGAATTGTGCCTAATTCCTATACATGTGTGAAGAAAAAATGACAGATTTTTAAATAAATCCGTATTCTAAATTGTACTGACTTAGGTTTAGATTATGATCATCATCAATGATCTTATACCTCTCGTTATATTCAAATGGTTATGTCATGTACTTTCATAATCTAAAAATCAGCTCAACATACTTTACCAAATATCTCTATGGCTGCAGTTAAGTATCTTGACTTCATCAGGAATATTTTTTCCCTGCATTGTAGTTCATTCTGGGCATTATCTTATGTCTATCAAGTAGGCTGTTTTTTCTTACATCAGATGGATACTCAGCTCACCTACAGGGCAGATCTTTGACTGAATGATAGATTTCCGTTTTAATGAATGGCCCTTAATTCCTAATGCCAAAAACTTTCCTTAATTTATTTTCACATTAAGTATTTGTTATTATAGGTGTAATTTTAGTTATATAATATCCCATACTTTATAAGGCAAAGAGAAGTTGTGATAAACTTTTCCCTGCATTTTTGTAAATCTCAGGATTTAATGTAAAGTCTCTCTCCCTTCATTTCCAGACAGATGATATGTACTCGTTGTATGCAATAAATGGATTACCACCAGAACACACACCTCCAAAGAATGTAAAAGCAAAAGTTAATACTACTAACAAGATGTATGACAACATGCCCGTTCGTCACCGCAATTTTATCCGTGAAAATGCTGAACTCATAAGGACAGGGGTGTCTTCTACCATTAAGGGTGCTCCTTTGGTGATGAAGAGAAAATAAAAAAACATTCCAAATCATTTCTTGGTTTCAAGTAGTATTGAATATTTTCAATATTGTTATTTAATGTTTTCAAATACTCCTGAGGATTAATACCTTAACAATAATAGATCTTCTATGTTTTCTTGCATTTTGAAATGCTGGCCTAACCAGTCTCTAAATATGTCATACCTCATTTCTGAATTGTGTATTTTTTAAAATGGATTTTGGTTCCTAATGTTGGAAAAAATTCACTTTTCGAAAGCAGGAGTACATTTTTAGTAAAACGCGCACATGATTTTAATGACAACAATATTTCAAACACCAAACACCAGTCTTGCTATGAAAACCAAATTTATCGTGTCGATTTTGCTTTCACGTCTTTTTTAGTTGACTTCTAAAAAATTATATGTACTTATAGTTTGCAATATGATATTTTGAAATACATATACACATTGTAGATTAGCTAATGAGCTCATTAACATGTGCTTTGCCTACCTGTCTTTTTGTGACAGGAATCTTTAGAATGTATATCATTAGTGATTCTCAAGTCTGCAATACCTTCCTATTAACTACTGTCACCATGTTTTGCAGTGCATGCCTAGAATTCACTCCTTCTATCTAACTGAAATTTGATGTCTTATGTCCTTTGACCAATATCTCCCAAACTTTCCCTGCCCTCTGTACCTGATAACCAGTATTCTCTTCTCTGCTTCTCTCAGTCCACCTTTTCTATATTGTACATATAAGTGAGAGTATGCGGTATTTGTCTTTCTGTGCTTGGCTTAATTCATTTTACATAATATCCTTCAGGTTCTTCATATTGTCACAAATAACAGGATTTCCTTCTCTTTAAAGGTGGAATAGCATTCAATTATGCATACATTTCAAATATCAGTGTTATTAAACACTTGTTTCATAAGTGTTTAATAAACTTGTTTTAATAAGTTTATTAAACACTTGCTTAATAAACACTTGTTATTAAAGCTCGATTTCTAGGTAAATGTTCTTGTGAGTCCTTAAAATATTAATGAATAATTAGCATATAAAATAGAAGGACTCACCATTTCTTATATGTGGTATTTGGAATACTATGTGCTATTTAGTGGGTAGTTAATTTAAAAGTCCATGCATGTATGTACAGATCACCCATATGTTCCTATATCACAGCTTTAAATAATATAGGTATATCTCACAATGATGTAGGACAAAGTTAGATGTGCATCTGATCCTTAAAAATGTGTAATTAATTGAAGTTAAAAAGAGTATGTTGCTTGGGACCTATCTTTGAGGAGAAATAACATGATAAATAGCCAGTGCGACCAGCTTTATGGCATTTTGACGCAAAATGTTTGGATCTGCTCCGTGCAAACTTTTCATAAGTAAGAGTGTATCCCTTATTCTTTTTCTACCCAATTTTACTATGAGCAAAAGAAGGAAGTAACTAATGATAGGAGTTAATAAACTATGGCGTGTAGGTTAAATCTAGCCTGGCAGGTATTTTTGTACAGTCCATTAGCTAGAAATGATTTTCACGTTTTTAAATGTTTAAAAAAGTCAATAAAAGAATACTGCTGGGTGACCGAACAAGTTAAAATTCAAATTTTATTGTTTATAGATAAAGATTTTGAAACAGCACAATCACTTGTTGTCTATGACTGTTTTTACACTTTAACAGCAAAGATAAGTAAACAGAAATTGTATAGCTGAAAACTTTTTTAGCATCTAGTTTTTTCTAGAAAAATGTTTAACAATAAATATATTAGGCCAGTAATGGCCTTTAGGAAACACTATGGAGCTCTTAATTGTAATTGTCTCACATAGTGGTAAGCAGAATTCTGGGAACATATCTGCGGATTTAATTAATTAATATTGTTTCTGACCATTGAGGTCGCATGGAATCTGTATTTTCTGTTCCTGGAATGGGCAGAAGCTTGGAAATTTTGTGAATTTCCAAACTTTATGATTCCCTGGCCCCCTGTTTTTCGAGTACAGTGTAATTGATCATGTGTCTGTTCTTTTCACTGCTATTCTGTGAAGTGAGGGATATAGCCAGTCTCTGAGCATGTTTCTCACAAAACTTGCATAAAATCTCTCAAATATCTGCAGAGGGTAAAGTGCCCTTTCCTGTGAATTTATAGAAAAATCTCATTGTTTTATGTTTTTTGTTTTTATGGTAATGCATAATATTTCAATAATCTTAAACCTTTTATATGGAGTATTCTGAGAACCACAATTGCTTTGCTAATGGAAATGCTGCAATCATTTAAATCAAATGCTCAGGATAGAGTATATTTGGATTTAACTTTTCTCAGTGACAGGAGGAAGGGAGTTTGCGATAGGAGCTGACATTTCATGTTGTGAATATTTCAAAATACTTAAAATTGTTATGCTAGATTGTCATATTTCAAGTGTTATCCTGTATGATTCCTTTTCTGGGGGCAGTTTCTATTTATCTGTAAAATATTTGTAAATATTTGCCTTCTTTGTCAAAAGGAGAGTAGGATGTGTCAACTCAAGTAGATGAGACTGAATAGTGGATAAAATTCTAAGACGCGTCAGAGAAGGTACTTTGTTCAAATATGTTTTAGAACCACAAAGAGGATTCAGGGACGTGCCATGTCTGTATTCCCATGGCAGCCACTTTATCCTGATAGACTAAAACCTTTCTATTACAAGCACCTGTGACTGTGTGCCTCTGTGGTATCCCTGGTTGTGTGTGCATGTGTCATCTGAAATAGTAGTATTGGGGTAGAAGTGTTACAAAGTTAATGCCCCTGAGACCCGCTGTTAGTGAATTATGGATCAATAGCAATGCAGCTTAACAATATTTGTGTATACTTGCCCCTTGGGTGAGACAACTCTGAAGAGTTTTCTCTGTGTTCTCCCCAAAATTTCCAATATAATTGAGCTTTCATTGCCTTTAGTGGCAACATTAAGGACACATACTGAATTATCTGTTTTCCCTTCTCCATTCCCCTATGGTGTCCCTTGCAGTCACTTCCCAAGTAAACTAAAATTTTTTCTTAAAGTCTAGTTTGGGGAATACCGATTGAGGTACTCCTGAAACCTGGCATTCAAAGGCAATATTGATAAACCTCTCGCTTACAAAACCAGTGGCAGGATGGGTTCCAGATCTATGACTTCTGTTGATCTGTAGAAGCTTTTAAACTCCATTATATTGTGTTGCTAGATCACAAAGAATTTCACCTCGAATCTAAAGAATCAGCAGTAATTGAATCAAGAGAAAAGAGGAGTAGTTAACAAAAATTAAAATATGTTACTATAAACCACTACAGTCACTTAAATTATGCAGGAGATCCCTGACAGGATGGAGTGTCACACGATTGGCTTTGAGATTTGCCTAGGGATTGGTGGAGCACACTTCTGGGTGTGTCCGGGTATGTCATAGAGATATAGCCTTGAGGATCTCTATCTGATGTTTGGGCCCGTCTTCTCTTATACTGCTCCCCTGCTGTGCTTCCCATGAACTGAACAGCTATACTGTTCACACCCTTTCACCATGTTTCTGCCTTGGAGCCAGATGACCATGGACTGAATCCTGTTAAAAGGTGAACCAGTTGGGTATTATTTTCAGACAAAGCTGATTAATACAAAATCCAAAAAACAGAGGAGGAGGGTCATGTATATTGACCATGTAAAAGACCATAATTATCTTTTTAAAAATTGACTTAGAAAATTTGAACCAGTGCCTACTTCCTTTGGAAATTTCCCCAAAACAACTTAAAGTACTCAACAATTTTATTCCTTCTTTAGTTGTACTCAAAGTAGTAAATGCTCAATATATGATTGTTAATATTTGTCAGAAAATTTGTATCAAAGAAAACACAATAACATGAACAATTCATTATAAATCGTGAGCCACCCTTTCAATATAGTTTGATTCTTGAGGAATTGATGAAATCAAGCCTTCCACAGATCTACTAAGTGATCTGCGCAATTTCTATTTCTCTGTTCAGATTACATTTTGCCAGATTTACTATTTCATTTTTATAAAGTTACATTAAACCATCCTTCCTTTCTACACCTACTGCACCTGCCTTGTTCAGACACAACATGTCTAGATTATTGTAGTTTGTCATCGTCCAGTAATTTCATAGGTTAGTTGTTTTCATATCAGTTAGATTCACAAGCTTGCTAGCGGTTTCTTATTTGTTACAGAATAGGTTATCTTCCTCAGCTAAAAATGAAAGTATTCAACCTTCTGACTCCTTTCAATTTTCTATCTTATTCCTGTTGTGCTTTCATCTGTCTCAAAACGAAAACCAGGGCTTTTGTCCCACTGAACTTTTGTGTGTTGCCTTGGCTTGGACAGTTTTATTTGGATAATGAACACTTCTTTCTCATATCTCTCCAGCAGAATACCTTCCATCATTCAAACTCTGCTTAAATTTTTCCAATAAAATTTCCATATATATTTTCCATCTCAATTTATTTATTCTTGTTCTTTCTCTCTGATGCATACTATTGTAGTGTCACTATGCTTCCTTGTTACGTGTGGATAAATGCTTCTCACACTTAGATTCTGAGCTCTTAGAAAAGTTTTACTGTGATTATCTTTGCCTTCACCAAAATAACTTTTTCCATTCCTTTTGTATAGCTTTCATTATATTGTATTTGAAGAGAATTTAGCATATTTATCAACAGCCCTAAACTACCAGCAGAGACAGTCCTGTGACCTATCTCCCTCTTACTACTTCAGTGTTCTTTCTAGGTGCCAAACATTTAAGGCAAGAACCATGAATGTACATTTTCACAAGTGCTTCAGGTGACTCCAAGGTTTACATGTTAGGAAAAAATATTGAGCAGGAGGAGAGGAGAATGGATACACAAGTCAGTAAAACATTGAAATGGCAGCAAACGAAGGGGTGGTATATACTGGGAATAAACCAGTTAGAGAAGCATCTAAGTACTAGTCCTGATGGAGGAGAATACCAATCAGGGGTCCTGTACCCACGAGCCAAACACAGCAAGGATCAGGTCTTAGAGAACACAGGGAAACAGGATCATTACTCCTTGG